GGGGGGGGGGGGGGGGGTACCTGAGCTAAAGGGGACAGCTATAGAGGCCATTCCAGGTAGGGGCAGAATTCCTGACTCGGACCTCTCTGTGGCTGAGCAGGAAGGGAGCCCAGACCTCGGGGCTGAGTGTTCACTAACAACAAGATTGGAGAAGAGAAGCCAGACTGAGGAGGTCAGGGGAGGGGCTGAGATTTTATCCTGCAGGGAACAGGAAGCTGGGGAAGTGCTTTGCGGTTGGTTTGTTTGCATTTAAACAAGGGTTTATGCATGAAGGAAAGAGTTCAGACATGAATTTAGGGGCTCAGGTTGGTGCACTGGAGGCGAGGGCTGGGAGAGCAGTAAGGGATGCCCTTATGGTAGAGGAATGGTGGCTGGGAAACCACCCCGAGGTAGAACCCACAGAACCTGGTGACAGCCCGGGTGTGGGTGGAGGAGGTGGAGTCAAAGAAGATGCTAAGGTTCTGGGCCAAGAACCCAAAAGGAAGATGCAACATCAGAACCTGGGACGTCCCTGTGAGAGCTGCTCCAGGGACGCTCCGACCAGCTTTAGCCACGTGGAAGGAAAGAGCATCAAGTCTAGCGGGAACCATGCTGGACTGGCCTTTAGTTAATCTGGGCCCCGGCCTAGGGAGGAGTGACGGTTTGATGGGGTGACAGTAGAGCATAATGGCCCCAAGTCCTATGGTATCCTCATGGTGGTTTCGGTCATTGACACGAGTTCTTCTCAGATGGGTCGGCTCATTCCAGTGCTTATTTTTGTGACGTTGTGTTTAAGAGCATAGGAACAGATCAGGGTTGGGGAGAAGGGTAGCCAACGAACTCACATGCAGCAGTGTTTTCCAGTCTCCCCAGATCGAGAGATTTACCTGGGGGATCGTTAAATAAATTCCTAGACCCCACGCTAGTCCCTCTGAATCAGAGTCGCCAAATGTGGAGCCTGGAGGCTGTGTTTGTAGTAAGCACCCTCGGGGATTCTTCTGAGCAGGGAAATCAGTGAAATAGTGACCCGTCACCAGGGCTGCCTTATTGCCAGTTAAAATACCCCGTTTCCTGGCCCCTCCCTTGAATCGTCTGGTCCAGTCGATTTGGAGTGAGACCCCAAAACCTGTTTTTAATAAGAAGCCCCTGTGATCCTTATGATAAATTGTGGGAAACACTGACCGGGGTCCCCCGCAGGCCAATCACGGTAGCCAGCTTCTGTCTGCTCTTCTGTGAACGTGAAAATTAAGGCTCAGAACCTGGGGGTAATTAGCATACGTCAAACTCTGCCTCCCTCCCTTCTCGTCTCTAT